GATGAAGTGGCGTATGGAATCTACGAGTGGTTTAGTTGCCAGTAAAACACTATTCTCCATATAATAATGCTTGATATATTCACCATCCACGAGTGTATCATGACCTCGCAACGGGACCAGTTCCCAGTTGGTTTGTTACACACATATATAGTTTAACTCAGTTGGTATCTAACACTGCTCCGGTATCGAACAGGCTGAGTTCGAGTTCCCATCAAGCCTAAATCTTTTTCAGGCATTCATTTTGCGTACATAACTGGCGTTCTCTCATGTTTCTAAGTGATTCCAGTTTTACTTGTGAAAGAGTAACAACACCTCTGGCCAGGCTCATAAACTTGCAATTCACGTCAATTAAAGGACAGTCACCACTAAAAAAATTACATGCTATCAATCAATGGCAGTGCCTTTGAATGGTCATAACTCTGATACCTCATCCAAGTGCAGTCAAGAAGAAATCATATTTCTACATCTGGATGCAGCGCTCTGCAAGATGTCGGACGAATTATCTTGGCTTTACCTCATGTGCCGGGCACAGATGAGATAAATTAATAGAAACAAGAGACTAGAAATAATACTGCACCAAAATACAACGACTCACAAACAATTGCACAACAATACATGATCTCATTTGTGTCCGTCACCTGCGTAAGGAGCCACCATCCTGAACGCACTTCTAAATACAGCAAATTACATGTATATAAATATCACAGACACAGGACACGTATGTACAGGTGACCGACAGCAAGGACATGTTAATCAAACAAAGGCATCGTGACCATTCGTTAAATTATTGATTACACTTACTGATTGTAGAGAGGGGCGGTGGTCACCACAGCTTCATCAATATTAAGGTTATCAGAATTGGCTTCTAACTTGGTCACCACCTCAGAAATCTCTTCATTTTTTTGCGTTAACAGCTTGATATCATTGTCCACATCAGCCTGAGGAAAAAAGAGCATTGTAGAAAAATAAATGAATAAAAAAGAAAAGTAAAAAAAAGAAAAAAAGTAAAGAAAAATAAATGAATAAAAAAAATACAGTGAAATGTTGCATACGGTGTACTGTAAGTGTCCATCCATTTTNAAAAAAAAAAAAATGGAAATCTGTGTGGAAATGATGCAACAAAAATGAATAGCAATATGTATACAAATGTCCATGTACCTTAGGGGTAAATGTATATTGTCATGATTAATGGATATCAATAAACATTCATTTTGCTATTCAAAAACAAATAGCAATACGTATGCAAATGTACATGTACCTTGAGGGTAAATGTATATTGTCATGATTAATGGATATCAATAAACATTGATTCATTTTTTAAAATAACTCCAACCATCTTGCAATGAGTAACACAAGTTTGGAGTTTATTCTAGGTGTTTATTCTAAGTTTATTCATAGTGTTGTCTTGCATATCATTCACAGAAAAAAGGATGATTCCTGAATGAATGACTTTCTAAATCCTTGAGAGTTTCAAGTTTCACTTTAAGAGATTAAATTAACTTGCATAAATGCACATTTGATAGTCCACATTGCTTTGTTTCCTGAAGTTGCATTTATAATTTTTAGCTGGGTGAAACAACAAGAATCAACATACATAATTCCACTCATGTAAAAATGGATGATAAACTCTTCCATTAGTGTCGACATGTTGAGATGCCTTGATAGCCATTGTGCTTGTTGGCCTAACAAACACTAGTGGTGGAACATAAGGATGCTTCTCCTGCAACCAGACACACACTGGAATATTGTATGTCACACCTGCAACAAAGAAAAATTTGCTCATTTTATGCACTTGATGCCTGCTGAATAAAGCTACAACTTGGCTATCAAGGCTGAGCTCTGTTTGCGAAATTTTGTAACCAGCAAAGGTGCAACTCAAAAGCAAACTGTTTCCAAAACCGTTTGTTTATGACATCACATACACCATGTATGTGACATCAAATTAAACCTGCGATAGAGTGCAGCACAATTCAACATCAGCTGCCTGAGACATTGGACCCCAACTCCCCTCGGTTAAAACAAGATAAAAACGAAAACAAATAAGAGCGAAGATGTCCGCTTTGCTCCAAGTAAAAGAAAAGAGCAGCTATTGTGTAAAACTCTTAATTCATGAAACATATAAATCCCTTCATTGCAATTTCAGAGCTACATTGGTGTACCATAATGATTCGATTTAGCATCCTTCTTTCAATAAGCACCCCGTTTCTAATATGTGCTTCTCCTCAAGTATGTTTTTTTGTAGTAAGCACCCCTATATCAATAAGTGCTGGGCCCTTTAGCACCCCCATAGCAAAAGTGACATTCAAGGCATTGAATGAATAAACTGATTCAACGAATGAATTATGAAGTCTGCTTTCTCATCTGAACGTAATATTAACATGTGACTATCAGAGTCTCTGTTGTTACAGTTCTGGAGCGAAAATATCTGTTGTTTTTCCACTTAATAAGTATCTCACCACATTCAGACATGTATGATAAAAAAGAAATAAGTGCCCCTTCTCCAATAAGTGCCCTCTCTACAATTACAAAAAGTAACTTAGTGCCCTGGGCACTAAATTGTAGCATTATGGTAAAGTGTATAGCTAACAAAATACCCAGCTCATATTGTATATATTTGCCACAGTGTAAAATTATGCAACTTAATAACCAGTACAGGTATGACACAGTTTTTGAATCAGTACATTATTTTGTCAAATTGAGTGTTGGTGACCAGATGTTTACATTACTTTCCTACTACATCAATTACATTTCTAAATAATACATTACCACATCACTATGTAACTACATTACTACATTGCTGTATTACTACATTACTACACATGACCAGATGTTAAGAACTGATCATCAGTGAGTGATTCACCTTTTCTTCCATCAACATTTTAGCTTCAAAGACAAATCAACCTTACTTGTGGATGAAAGATATGATTCATGGACCAGAATACATATAACAAAACAAACCGGCAAATCCTTCAATTGCCAGCAGGATCACCATGTTTGATTCAGCAGCTTCTTTATTAAGAGGTATTACAGGTGAACTAAAAAACGTGTGTCAGGACCTGATATGACGACCAAAAATGTGGCAGAGCGCAGAAATGATTCCAATATGTCTGTTGACCGCACAAAGCCTTAGCTTGGTGCAAAAAATTGCATAGACATGAAACTAGATAAGGAAGGAGAGGAAACACAGAAAAAGTAACTGAAGCTGCTCAAATTCTTATTGATCATTATTTTGCAATGTTGTTTTTATGTGTTCTTTCTTTAAAATTTTACCATCGTATATAAGCTTCTTCATACATAAACTTAGAATTATGTCAAAGGTTGTGTACATCAGGAAAATACTGAAGAAGACCAAAACTAGTTGAAGAAATGGCGACCAAAAAATTACAATCAAGCAACCAAAATTTTGAGACTAGTCGCCAGTTGGCACCTTTACAAAAGTTAATTTCAAGCCCTGGAAGCCGAGAGAAGAAAAATTTAGCTGACAGATGCAAATGTTGTGTACAATTGAATTATGTGAATAATCTTTCTAGACATTTGAATTAAGTGACAATGTTTTGTTTATGTATATTTTTTTTAAATTACGGTTTTATAACCTCCAATTGTGGCAACTTACCTTTATACTGTAGATAGTGTGAGAACAATGTACAGGAACATGGCATTAAAAAAGATTTTGGCCTTTTAATCTTACCTCTGATTACGACTGGAAGTGTTCCATTCAGGGCTAGTAAGTCCACTTCTCGCCCATCGTTGTGTGCTGGAGAACAAATTAAGTTTGTTGTTTAAACTCTTACAAGCTATAACTTTAGTCACAAGGGTTGGAAAAATTCATTTTATTTGCATTTTGCCCCTTCCCACCCCTGTGCAATGTTGACCAAACACAAGTTTGCATTTTGCCATTTTCCAACATTGAAAGGGGGAATGGGGGTGCTACATGTAACACTTGTTCAGTAGGTATAGTGGTTATGATTTCAGGTTTTTGCGCATTTTCCAACACAATCTGTCCATGGTTGTACTACAGAATGTACATCCTAGTTTATTTAAATATTACATGACCATGTGTAACCATGAATTGTACACTACATGACGTATGCTTTTCGCATGTGCTCAACTCATTTGTTTTCTATTTTCTTCTTCTAAGACCCTACACTGTAGCCTGATGACATAATCAATTTACCATTTCTTTATTAGAATTTCCATGTAAGCCTCTGTCTGAATTTGTGAGTATTGTCCACTATATACAAGTATGTATAATTGAAACAGTGTATGTTTAGAATTCTCTACAAGATAATTTTTTACAAGATCTTCACTAGAGATTATGTTATAACATATCTGTAGTTCTAGCTGATACATAATTTTCCAGCTCTGTAAATGAAGTTCTTTCCATCAGTTTGGTAATCATCAGAACAAAGACACTTGTCTACACTGTAAGTCTACATGATGTGTATT